AACTCCTGACCTCAAGTGATCCATCCACCCTGGCCTCCCAAAGTGCTGGGACTACAGACGTGAGCCACCACGCCTGCCCTAATACCCCACTTTTGATAATGGATAGAACATGCAGCATTAGTGCTCACTCTTTGGGACATCTATTCTAGCCACTGAGGGTCTGCCTGGTTCTCAGGCCTGCGAGTTTAACGGGCAGCCTAAATGAGTGAGGAAGCAACTACTGTAACACAAGTCATCTCCATGACAACCCAAAGTCAAGAAAAATTATTTCTTTGTGGAGAGAACATTCAAAAACCTCTCATGAGGTGATGGACATGTTAATCTTCCTGATTTGATCATTATGCAACATATACATGAATACGTTAAACCATACTCCACCAATATGTACAATTGCAATGTGTCTTTTTTTTTTTTTTTTTAAAGAACAGTATTTCTTCTATTATTAAAGGGAAAAATACCCCAGGCTTCTGGTACATGGATGTTCAACATTCCTTTATAAGACAGTCAGACTAACCAGGAAGATTTTATCTTTTTACACATTTTGCTGCAAACTCCAATTTCCCTTGATGATATGCCTTCCCATAAAAAGAACATTATCCATTTCAGCCTACCCTGCACTGTTTTGTATTTAAAATCAGTATCATAGGGTTTCATATTTTTAATTTCTCTTCAACTGTTTCATGAACATATGGTCTTTGTCTCCTCAACTACTCTAAAGTCCTTCAGGGAGAAAAAGGCGGCCATTCATGTTTCAATCTTTTGCAATTTCCCTACCAATTCAGAGGGCAGTTCTGGGCTCATTAATAAGCCCTTAACAAGTACTTACTGGCTAACTCAGAGCTTCATAACTGGTATATTTTGGTGTGCGGGTGTAACACAAAGAAGTTTCACATGTGCCCAGATAATAATCCTTCCAGGCCTAGAGTAGTATGGGGCTGTAGGGGTGGTGGAGGGGACAGCAGTTAGGGATTGGGATAACAGCAGCTAGGGATTGGGGTAACAGCAGCCCCCGGAGACAGGCTCCTCAGCGTGAGTGAACGGAGTCAATGTCATGACATGAAAAAGGTTGGGGAGCCTTGGGTTAAATGACCCCCTAGCAACAGTGCTGAAAGAACTGGAAATAGCCTGAATGTCCATCAAAAAAATGAAGTTGTTTTATTTACCAAATAGGAAATCTTCCAAGACATAGATAGTAGTATTACGCTACCATTCATGTAAATGGGGAGAGAAGAAACTTAATTGTTTGTATATGATACGATAAGACACACAGGAAACCTCCATAAGGAGGCACCGTGGTGGCTGATTCACAGTGGAAGCCCAGGGGCTGGAGGCAGAGGAAGGAAGACATATTCCTATAAGCCCTCTGCACTTCTGAATTTTGAGCCACATGACAGTATCGGCTATTAAAAACAATAAACATTTTAAAGTTTTCAAATCCACCTTTGCCTATATCCAAATTTCATTAATAACGATTACTCTCTACACCTTCACCCCTAGTCAAATATGAGAAATAATAAAAGAAAGATCTGGGTACTGGTTGCCTGCATGCAGTCTGTGAAAATCCACTGAGCTCTACACTTACGACCTATGCACTTTTCCATAGGTATAGTACATGTCAACTCGAAAGTTAAAAGACAAAATGAATAGGTTACTTAAGTCAACTTTCTTTTTGTTCCCTCTTAAGAGTAGTATAGCTTTTAATGCACTTGCCTTGATAAAATGAATTTCTATTTCAAACCTTTCAATAATAATTCTCAAAAAAGCCTCACCTGAGTTGAGTCAATACTGCTGACAACATGTGGCAAGGGGAACCAGGAGCCGAGCTCCTCTCAGCTCTTCTCCAGCCTCAAGGCCTACGCTCTTACTCTCTTGTGACTTTTCTGTGAGTTTAACATTATTTCCAAACAAAGTTCTCAAGTCTATTTATTAACAACCACCAATAATTATCAAAACAAGTTTAGAAATGAATCTTGACTTTGATTTTGATAGTTGTTCCTTTCCTCACAAGTCATTTTAATTACCTAAGTGTTATCCCAAGGTATTATTTCTACTTGCCAAAAAAAATTATACCTTCTGGCTAGGTTTATAATAGGGCAAAATAAGTACCTTCCAAGTCCCAAAGCTTAACATAATTGTCTTTAACATAAGACTACACCTCAATAATTTCCCATAATGTGAGCCTTAATGGGGAAACTAGATTTACAGGAAGTTTAATAAAAAGTTCCTCATCCACACGAAGGATTAATCTTACCTGAGTGGTAAACACAATGATAAACCCTAATAACAACTTAGGTTAGAAGCACTTAAAGTTTTATAAAAAGAAAAAGAAAAAAACATAGAAATCAAAGGTCTAATAAGATGGCAAGTATTCCAATAGCTGAATTCTTAAAATTATAATGAAGAACTACACGTGAAAGGCAACACTTCAAACACAAGAAAACATACAGGAGAAAAAATATTCGTGACCTAAGAAAGGGAAGAATTTCTTAAACAAGGCACAAAAGCATAAACCGTAAAAGAATGATGCATTAGATTGCACTTAAAGATTCACAATTCATGTACAATAAAAATCCCACAATTAAAGTGAAAAGATAAGTCATAGTCTGAGAAAAGATACTCCATCCAGAATAAAGCACTTCAACAAAACCCTAAGACAGACATTTCAGCAGAAATATGGGCCAAGACTATGAACAGGCAAGGCAGCTCACAGAAGAGAAAAAGAGAACTCTGGGCACTGCAGGTGGGAGGGCCCTGTGGCACAAGCCCCTGAGGAGAAGCCTGCAGCATTGAGTCAAAGCTCTATCACCACAGGGCATTTAAAGAAATGCAGAGCTGCAGCAGGCCCAACTCACCACACTCCCAGGGAGAGCCTTGCTGCTGCTGTCCCGGACCCACCTCCCAAGGCAGGGAGACAGGGAACTACCCAGGTTGGGCGCCTTCTCACCAACCAGGTCCCTTTAGCTGATACGACCACTGACAGGATGCATCAAGCCTAAGAGGAGGCTTCAAGTGTCCAGACAGGATAATTCCATGCACCCCATGCACCCCTTCGTAGGCCATCAGAAACCTTTTGTAATTACCTCATATCAGAGGAAAACCATCTCCAAAATGGCCTCCCACCCCTGCAGCCCCAGGATGACACTTTCTAACTATATCTTGGCACTAATGCTAAACCCAAGTTCTTGATCAAACTCAAGAGCCTGGCTCCATTTGGTGTCTGTCCACCAGTATATAACAACATGACCACACTAAGACACACTTTTTCTCTCCCAAAAGAAGGTCTGTTTTCTATGATTACAGCAAGAAGGTTGGCTTCTTGGAGATGATGGTCAGGGGAAAGTGTTCCAAAATACACAACGTGTTCCATGTTTTAACCATAATGAAATGTGTTAAGGCTATAACTACTTAATTAGGATGGGAAAAATGCAGAAATACTGCCAGCTGTATTCTGCTTAAAACAGCGTGAAATCCTCAAACAGCTTTCCTCACTGCAAAAATCCGTGACAACAGAGAGATCCTGCAGGCCCAGTGAGCCATCCCCTATGTGCTGGGGTTGGGGGGATAGCGTAAGGCACACAGGGATTAAAGCGTTCACCCAAGATCACATTTAGGACTTAAAATGTATTTGTGACTTTATAATTAAAAATTACATGACCACCCCGTGTATGCTTGAAAATGTCCACTTCCCTAAAGTTCAACCAAACAAACAAAAAAATGAGTGATTAGCAGACATTTAAAAGCAAGTCTGGGGGTAGACAAGTACAGGCAAGAATACTACTCTTTCACTCAAGTACGGGCTTTAGAAAATTAGTTCAGAAAAAAGCTAACAGTTCATATCAGAAAGTGTATTCTTTTTCTTAGGCAAAAGATCTAGCAATTCCCTCTGCTTCTCACAACTGCCAATAGTTTATTAATCTAAAGACAACACAACCTAAATAATTTCTTTCACCCTAACTGATATCAGATTCTGCAAACTGCAGGCAAAGGGAGCACACTGCCAATAACAACAGAGGAAAGTCCAAAGCCAACTCATCTTCTCTAGAACTGCTACAGAGAAAACATCTACAATTGGACTTCCTTCAGCAATTTCATTTACGTGTCACAGTAACTCAGAAGCTGAATGACACCTATTCTAAAGCAATAACTATATTGTAAACTCACAGATTACAGTCACTATCTGAAAGTCAAGGTACACAACAAATGCAAAACCAAATGCTATTGGCTTTTTTACATCATGATACCTTTTATAAATTCAAAACAGATAAGTTTCTAATCTGCGTAGGTCATTATGACCAGATGACAAGAGCCAGGCCTTTGCAAAAACAAATAGGGAGATATCCTACATTCTTGCAATTACATCTGTGGAATCAGAAGTCAGACAAGACGATTTTCTGGATAATCAAGAAAATATCACTGTGACCATCAACAAACCATTATCTATTCTTTAGGCCCCAAATGCCATTATTTATTAAGTATTAGGACAAAAGTATGGAAGAGCCAGGCGCAGTGGCTCATGCCTGTAATCCCAGGACTTTGGGAGGCTGAGGCGGGTAGACCACGAGGTCAAGAGTTCAAGACCAGCCTGCCCAGCATGGTGAAACCTCGTCTCTACTAAGAATACAAAAATTAGCCTAGCGTGGTGGTGCATGCCTATAATCCTAGCTACTCAGGAGGCTGAGGCAGGGGAATTGCTTGAACCCAGAAGGCGGAGGTTGCAGTAAGCCGAGATCACACCACTGCACTCCAGTCTGGAAGACAGCAAGACTGTGTGTGGGGGGGAGGGGCGGGTGGAGGAGAAAACGTATAGAAGATATGCGCTCAAAGCTGAGAAAAGGTAATAAAGGGGAACTGAAACTTTTAATCTAAGGCTAAAAATGTAGAATAATGCCAACTTTAACCCTCAAAGAGGATATCATCTCTTATTTCCTACGATACACTCAGAACTAATGACAAAATTGACAAAATTAAGTTTTTCCCGTGGTAAAGAATTCTGTTCTTACCTCATAAGACCATACACACTGCACCCCTGCAAACCTCCGGACACATCTTCCCACCTCCACGTCCTCATGGGTGGTGTACATCTCCCGGAGACACTTGCCAATGTGCGGCACCATTCTCCGAAGTACCTCCCGGCTCATGATCACGCCAGGCCCCCCCATGCAGAAGTTCTCACCAGGCTCGAGAGCCAGTTTTCCCATTTCTTCCGTGGTGCCCAGGCCTGTCTGCCCAAGAAAGAGGGGCTCGCTGCTATTCAAACTCCTCAGGAAATTCTCCAGACGGTCTCCTTTGATGTACACGTCATCATCTGCTCTCATAAACCATTCATACTTGTCCAAGTAGTGGTCGTGCATGTACTTGAGCATCATGAAGGACTTCTTCTGGGGCGGGTAGGAGTCATCCACACCCCGTAGTGGCACTATTGGAATTGGTATAGATGTGTCAGAACCCTCACTTGAGAAGAACTGAACTTTCCCAGGAATTGTCTTGGACCATGTTCTGGAATTAAAATAAGTATCAGTTAGAGAACAGTTTATTCCAAGCTGATTTTCAGGAATTCACATATCTGCTCATTTTGCATCGCCATGTTCAATGGAATGATAAAAAGCTACTTGGCCTGCTTGATTCCTCTTAATGAAAGGCCAGGTTACCGGGTATTGCAAAGTCTAAATTAATTTTCAAAAGAACCCCAATAAAAAATGAAGAAGTGGTAAAACTGTTCTAGGATAACTAAGTTTTAGTTATGGTTGAAAACCAAACTGCCAGGGGACCAAGATCTGGGTATACAGATTAATTTTGTGATACTATCAACTCCCTAACTTCTCAGCTCTATAAAACAAAAAACAAAATCAAATGGTTCACTCAAAAAATTTTCTTTGAACCAAATGCCAAGTATGTGCTAAGCTAAAGGGATGTGGTGGTGAACAAAAACGTGGTCCCCAACTCATAGAGAGGACATAAGCTAAGAGAAGTACTTATAAAGAGCAGAGCACAGGACATGAGCTAGACCAACAGAACAGGGAGCCTTCCCCTGAAACAGGGTTAACATCAAGGAATGCAGGGCACGAAAGTGCTGTCATGAGGCGAGGAAGAAGGCTGATACAGTTTGGCTGTGTCCCCACCCAAATCTCATCTTGAATTATAGCTCCCACAATTCCCACATGTTGCGGGAGGGACCTGGAGGGAGATAAGTGAATCATGGGGGCAATTTCCCCCACACTGTTCTCATGGTCATGACTGAGTCTCAAGAGATCTCATGGTTTTACAAGGGGTTTCCCTTTTAGCTTGGCTCTCATTCTCTCTTGTCTGCCACCAAGTAAGACGTGTCTTTCACTTTCCGCCATGATTGTGAGGCCTCCTCAGCTACGTGGAACTGTGAATCCATTAAACCTCTGTTTCTTGGCCGGGCGCGGTGGCTCATGCCTGTAATCCCAGCACTTTGGGAGGCCGAGGCGGGCAGATCATGAATGAGGTCAGGAGATCAAGACCATCCTGGCTAACGTGGTGAAACCCTGTCTCTACTAAAAACACAAAAAAATTAGCCAGGCCATGGTGGTGGGCGCCTATAGTCCCAGCTACTCGGGAGGCTGAGGCAGGAGAATGGTGTGAACCAGGAAGGCAGAGCGTGCAGCGAGCTGAGAGCGACAGAGCGAGACTCCGTCTCAAAAAAATAAATTTAAAACAACAACAACAACAGCAACAACAAAACCTCTGTTTCTTTATAAATTACCTATTTTGGGTATGTCTTTATCAGCAGTGTGAGAATGGACTAATACAGAGGCAAATGTAGCCAGGCACAGTGGCTCACGCCTGTAATCCCAGCACTTTGGAAGGCTGAGGCAGGAAGATCACAAGGTCAGGAGTTCAAGACCAGCCTGGTCAACATGGTGAAACTCTCTCTCTACTAAAAAAAATACAAAGTTTAGCCAGGCATGGTGGTGAGTGCCTGTAATCCCAGCTACTCGGGAGGCTAAGGCAGGAGAATTGCTTGAACCTGGGAGGCGGAGGTTGCAGTGAACCGAGATCGCACCACTGCACTCCAGCCTGGGCAAAAGAGCAAGACTCCATCTCAAAAAAAAAAAAAGTACAGAGGCAAATGTGCAGGGCCTGGCAGAGTACACTAAAGATGCAGGGCTCTATGTTGCAAGAGCCACAGGAAGCTTCTAGAGGGAATGTGGCAGAAGACAAGATTAAGGCCCACACATTTTGAACTCCCTAGGAATGGAGAAGAGGACCGAAGGAAGCCAGAGTGGACCCAGGAAGACCACTGAGTAAACTACTGCAGCAGCCCAGACCCGGGTTTAAGAGACAACAGTTGCCCATCAACAGAGGGAGGATGAGTGGTCAACTGCAAGGAAACCACATAAAGGCTGCTTCTGCTGAGCAGCTAATTTAAGGCTATCATGTCGCACTTTCCCTCACATTTTCTTCACGCTCTGTATTAAGATCTAAAGTTGTTTGGCTACAATAATTAATTTATACAGACTACTTCCAAGAAAAAGTATCATGGAGAATAAATAAAATAGTAAATTTAATCCTAAGATCAAAAAAGCAGAGTTATCAAATGACGTTCTCTCAAATATTTTTTTATTTTACCTGTTACAACTGTATTTATTATAGTGAAAAATTACTTGAAGGATCAATGAAACCTCCACACATCTTTAAGGAAAAGTCTTAGGAGAGAAATATCTGAAAACATACACACCAAACCTCTGGGGAAGAGATACCAAGGAGGAAAATTGGGAGGAGCTGGAATGTGTGTGTGGACAAAGGTGACTTTCACTTTTTATTCTATGCATCTCTATATCGAAGGACAATGGCGTTAAGTATCATATTACTTTTTGAAAAAAACTGTGATAAAATATACATAAAATTTATCATCTTAACCATTTCTAAACGTAAAGTTCAGCAGCATTCAGTGTTGTGAAACCATCACCACCATCCATTTCCAAAACGTTTTTCATCTTGCGAAACTGAGATTCTAAACATTTTGCTTTTGTAATTTTAAAAAGAACTCACAACGAAGTACTTGGAAAACAAATGACTGGCTTTTATTTCTCTTCCAAACCCAAATATGAGGAATACAAAACAACTTCAAATGTATCTTTCAAGTAGAGGCAAAATTTAATGGAATTCAACTTTCTGCCAATACGCCTCTCAAAAAGTGCAAGGATTAAATATATACCATTTTTCATCAAATTTAGGATGTTAATTGGAAGATGCACCATTGTTTTATCTACCAACAACAAATTAAAAAAAATACTGCCAATCATAATCCCATGATGCCAGTAACTATAAAATCCATCCTAATTTCTGAGATGTCAAAATCACAGAATGGATATAAGATGGCATGGTTAATGTTTTCGCTTAGTGCCTATGGATTTAAAATGGACCTGTATTCTTATGCCACTTAAATAACTCATTAACAAAGAACAACAATAACAACGAAGAACAACAATAACAACAAAAACCAAATTCAGCTCATTCATTTCACAGTATTAACAGATACTGTACTAGGTACTGTACTTCATTTTCACAAAGGATATGCTCCTGAAGAAAAAGGATGTAGAATAAACAGAGATGTGGCAATTAATTTAAAGAAAAACCAATTCCACCTACAAAGGGACAAGTCCTTTTGCAAATGCGACAATGTGTGAATGTGTGACAAGCTATACACAGTCTTCTGATGTGGTGACATATGGAGGGGAGACAACTTCTCAGAACGCCTCCAGCCTTGAGAAGTTAGGACAAAATTGTAGTGTAATGACCCCCCATTCAAGTTGAGGAGCCCCTGATGATGCTCTCTTTATAGAGAAATGTTTTTCATTTGGCAGTCACAATTCTTTGAAAAGGTAAATAATTTCAGTGTTTGGCACACAACAGAGGTCAATAAATGTGTGGACTGAATACTGCCCACTAGTGTACTATAAGCGACTTAATGGTGCCACATGTGTTTACAAAAGGTCAGAAATAATTTCTATCTTGTATCTTTGAGAAATTTTCAACTTAGGAAGCCATGAAAATACTAAAACACTATAATGTTATTTGGGAGATGGGGTGGGTGAGACAATTCCTGTCCTCAAAGAACCACCTACTAAGGAGGCAATCTACAGCATCACGGTCAAGAGCTGGCTCTGGAATCAGGCCATGGGGGTGAGAATCCCAGCTCCACTTTGGGTGAGTTACTCTGTGCCTCAGTTTCCTTATCTGTAAACAGTGGTTGCTGTGAGGGTTAAATGAGTTCTCTGTAAAGTGCTTAGAAGCCTGCTTGGCACTATGTAAGTATGACTTATTATTAGGTAAGGCAAGAGTTTGCAAATCAAATAAGGCAGTGAAAGAAAAAGTAAGGAAGACAGGAAAGTGTGGGTTCAACATGGACTAGTCAGTCTCAGGAATACACGGAACAAAGGTAATGTGGAAAATGCTTCTTATGTTTCTGGCTAAAAACCTGAGCCTCAAGCTATATACTGAATTCTTGTTTTACTATCAACTTCAGACAATGTTACAGGATAGAAGTCTAAGACTTGAAATTTCACAAGTGTTTTTGATTTAGAACACCAGAAACTTTCCTATTAGACTGAGGATGAAACTTCATTTTAGTTTGGCCCTGCTTCCCATGTGCCCCACCAGGAAGAACACAGTGAAGGAGGCCCTAGCAGTACAACCAGCACGTACGCAATTAATGCCTCAACTATGACTTGAAATGGTGTAATTTGCTCAAGAAGAGAAACCAATTAATTTTAAAAACAGTCTAACCTCAACCCTACAGTTTTATGGTAACTCCACCCAATTATTATCTGTTCCTTTTTAGGTAATTCAGGGAAAAACCTCATATTGTCCTTTTCTGTTCTAAATGACTGGTGGTTGGTTTTGAGGGAAATCTCTCAATGTCAAGTCTTTGTAAACCCTCCAATCTTAAGAAATTATAATCTTTTCAATTAGGGTCCTTAACTTAAATAGCTCCACAAAGTGAACGAGTTCTGGAACATAAATTGTGATTCACCACCATCCTGAGGAAGGAGGAGGGGATGCATTAATAATTTCAAATAATTGAAGGGAATGCTCCTGAAGAAGCAAGCTGTCCCCTCTTCTGCAATATCAACAGGTCCAGTTCCTTCATTTTCATAAGCAAACGTCAGCTTTGCCATCAACACATTTGTTACCAGGAGCAAAGAACTCTCACTTAATTGAAACGACAAAACGTTTGCAGAGGCCTTGCCAGAAAAAGCTCATTTTCAACGAACTGATATCCAACTCTTGCTCAAGCCCAGATAAGACAGCTGAAACTTGAGAGTGCCAAGTGAATCTTCCATCATTCTAGGTTTCTAAACGCTATTCCTACACTGAGTTAAATCACAGTTAAGTAATTCGGCTGGACCAATATTAGCTTAGCTAAGGAATGCCTTTGCTGGTTAGGACTTAACCCATTTATGCCAGAGGTTGCGATTTTTTGTGTGTGGAAAAAATCAGACCTTGGTGATGACCTTGAGCAGGACAAT